TGTATGTATTATGTAATAGATTTCAGTATCCTTACTTATCCTTACTTAAATTGATGTAATGGTCTGGATCCACTGCTGCAGTTTGGGACTGCATAACCAGTATCTAAAAAATAAAATGTATTCCTTAAAATATATATATGCGAATAAGTTGACTTTTCCATAAAACAATCGCTTTCTATGAACTCAATCTAATTGTAGAATAACCTTTTCTGTTGTCATTAGCGACCCAGAGCAGGTCAGGTCCAGTGTGTGTATTCCCGCGTGGGAGTTCAATGTTGGTGCCCCAGCTACCCTCCAGGACTCTCATTATGAACAAACGGCAGGCTGTCTGTGTGACCAGGCCTTCCACTTCCACACAAACACCAGTGCTATGAAGGTGACCAAAGTGATGCTCAAATATAGAACTTGTGTAAGACTGGGGAATACTGGAACATGGCTTTGATAAATGAAAGAGTAACACCTGCAAAGGAACTGAACAGTGTGTGCAGCATTTTTGCATTTTTTTTTACTTTGATTTTTTACATTATTTAGACTTTTTACAGTAAGGACATTAGCATTTTAAGATTCACAGACAATGCTTGATCTGTGTTTAGCTTTCTCAATAAACAAATCATATCTGGAAATCTTACTAAATGAATCACGTCACCATGAGAGCAGGCTCTTTGAGACCAGGCAAAATCAATAGTTAGAACACAAGAAATATTACAATGATAAAATAAACTCAGAGGAGCCATTGGTCCGTAGGGTTGATGGATGACCAGTGTCTATAAACATCCTTTGACCAGGGGTGTCAAACTCATTTTGGTTGCTGGCATTTCAGGTATAACATTCCATAGTAGCCCATTACTAACAAAGCAAGTCAATCATCCATCCATCCATTTTCTTCCCCTTAATCCATTTCTGGGTCGGGGGGGTGGCAGTCAGAGCTGCACCCATTTCACAGAGCACCAGCCCCTCACTGTTCTTTCTGCACGTGGTTAGTCCACAGAAGATGGCTGCACTAGTCTGAGCTGCCTTGACCTTTCAGGGGGGGTTTCAGGCAGAGTGGGGTTAAGTGTCTTGCCCAAGGACACAACAGCAGTAGACATCAGTGAGAGTCAGTGGAGAAGGTCTCAAGGCCAATGCTCTACCAAGTAGAAGGTAGAGCATTGGCCTTGAGACCTTCTCCACCGACTGGCTCAGTTGGTTGACCATTGGTGTTCGGGCTTCTTGGACACTTAACACTTAACCCTACTCTGCCTATAGTTCTCGCTGAAAAATCAGTCTCCCCAGAATTAATTTCAGGGGCTACTTAAAATGTGTCTCAGTGGCCAGACCCCTTATAAAGATAAAAAAACAAAAAACATTTGCGTTCACACTCCCTTGGAAGTCATATTTACTCCTATACAGTGGGGCAAAAAAATATTTAGTCAGCCACCGATTGTGCAAGTTCTCCCACTTAAAATAATGACAGAGGTCTGTAATCATCTGTAGTTTTCATCTTAGGTACACTTCAACTGTGAGAGACAGAATGTGAAAAAAAAATCCAGGAATTCACATTGTAGGATTTTTTAAAGAATTTATTTGTAAATTATGGTGGAAAATAAGTATTTGGTCAATAAAAAATTCAACTCAATACTTGGTAATATAACCATTGTTGGCAATAACAGAGGTCAAACAATTACTATGGGTCTTTACCAGGTTTGCACACACAGTAGCTGGTATTTTGGCCCATTCCATGCAGATCTTCTCGAGAGCAGTGAACACGGACTTTCAACTCCCTCCAAGATTTTCAATGGGGTTGAGGTCTGGAGACTGACTAGGCCACTCCAGGACTTTCAAATGCTTCTTACGGAGCCATTCCTTCGTTGCCCGGGCGGTGTGTTTGGGATCATTGTCATGCTGGAAGACCCAGCCACGTTTCATCTTCAAAACTCTCACTGATGGAAGGAGGTTTTGGCTCAAAATCTCACGATACATGGCCCCATTCATTCTTTCCTGAACACGGATCAGTCGTCCTGTCCCCTTGGCAGAAAAACAGAAAATGATGTTTCCACCCCCATGCTTCACAGTAGGTACGGTGTTCTTGGGATGCAACTCAGTATTCTTCTTCTTCCAAACACGACGAGTCGAGTTTATACCAAACAGTTCTACTTTGGTTTCATCTGACCACATGACATTCTCCCAATCCTCTGCTGTATCATCCATGTGCTCTCTGGCAAACTTCAGACGGGCCTGGACATGCACTGGCTTCAGCAGGGGGACACGTCTGGCACTGCAGGATTTGATTCCCTGTTGTCGTAGTGTGTTACAGATGGTAACCTTTGTTACTTTGGTCCCAGCTCTCTGCAGGTCATTCTCCAGGTCCCCCCGTGTGGTTCTGGGATTTTTGATTACCGTTCTAATGATCATTTTGACCCCACGGGATGAGATCTTGCGATCGAGGGAGATTATCAGTGGTCTTATGTCTTCCATTTTCTGATAATTGCTCCCACAGTTGATTTGTTCACACCAAGCTGCTTGCCTATTGTAGATTTACTCTTCCCAGTCTGGTACAGGTCTACAATTCTTTTCCTGGTGTCCTTCGACAGCTCTTTGGTCTTGGCCATAGTGGAGTTTGGAGTCTGACTGTTTGAGGCTGTGGACAGGTGTCTTTTATACAGATAACAAGTTCAAACAGGTGCCATTAATACAGGTAACAAGTGGAGGACAGAAGAGCTTCTTAAAGAAGGAGTCACAGGTCTGTGAGAGCCAGAGATCTTCCTTGTTTGAAGTGACCAAATACTTATATATTTAAAATATCCTACAATGTAAATTCCTGTTTTTTTTTTTTTTTTTCACATTCTGTCTCCCACAGTTGAAGTGTACCTATGATGAAAATTACAGACCTCTGTCATTATTTTAAGTGGGAGAACTTGCACAATTGGTGGCTGACTAAATACTTTTTTGCCCCACTGTATGTACAAAGGTATGGTTTGTTAAAAAATGCATCGCAATTTCAATGATGGTCAGTAATATTGCATTTGGATATCTTACCTTAATGGTTGCCGTTCTTGCCAGCCAATGGATTTTGGATTTGTCCCTCACTGAGAAGAGCATGACATAACCAAACATAAACTCAATCCAATTCAGAGACATACGGCCCTGACAAGCACAGCAGAGCACTGTCTTATCTGAAGCTTCTAATATTTGTCTGGCATCGTTTGGATGAGCATGTGTTGACATTAGCATTATAGATTTGGTGTAAAAGGCAAATAGTGCTGGAAGCTGCGGGAACATTCCAGTATTGAGCCAGAAAGTGAAAGCGAGTAACACCACTCATCTGCGAATCTGCCATGCAAAATCCCCAAAGTTTTACGAACAAACTCAATCTTGTAAGTCACTTTGATACTCCCTCTTCTTATATTGAATCTTAAAACAGGACAAGGGCGTAGCACAGCAACCTTGAAAGGGCATAGATGTCCTTCAACAAAGCACATATATAATCTATTGGATCAGACTGAAAGACTCGCTTGCCCTTGCGTTCCCGCCGCTAAATCAAATTCGTCTGGCACATGCACCGTGTTGAACCCCTCACCAGCAATTACAATTAAAACCGTTCCGTGATTCATTAGCGTCAAAAGTCAATATTTAATGAAAGTCCAGCAAATTGTCATGGGGGGCTCCTGGATACGTTTATGCAAATTCAGATCTGCAATAAATGAATGTTTCATTAGGCGTGCCGAAACACAGGGTTGGTGCGTGTGGTTTATGGGTCATTTCCGCTACAAAAGCCTACAGTCTGTAGATTTGTCGCAAGGGCCGTGTTTGCTGTATTTAAAACATGGAATTTTACTATTTAAGGCAGCTCTGGCCAACCTTAATCAAAAAAGAATCCAACAATCACAGATCTAGCTCAAATAGAAATTTCACTATTTGGTTTGTTTCCCATTGCCTTAGCCATTTATGATTCTCTGCATGCAAAAGTAATATTTTAGGATATACTACTGCAATGCAATTTATTATCAATGATTTTCAATGTGCATCTGTTTTCATGTCTTTCTCGTGTGCAAATATGAAAATAGTTTATTACCCATTTTGCCTTGTTCTGTCATCTTGTGTGAAAAAGCAAATTTGAGATCAATGTACACCTTGTCTTGTTTACACAGACCCACAGCAGAACATGCTGTCTTATATCTCATTAGTAAATATTTGATCTTGTAAATACTGAGAGCTAATTGGCATAGTGGGGGCTGGTACTTTTTAGGATGTGTCATAGGCCAAAAATACATGCATGCAAAGACTAGAGAGGAGCTATCAGTTTTGAGAGCAAGGAACAATAGTTATAATGAATCTATTAGTTCATTATTTTTTCAAGTTAAGTACTCCAGCTTTTAAGGAACGTTGTCTTTTTCTTCTGTGGTACTATTGATTCTATTTCATGAGCAAATCTATTCTTTGTTTTGTCAATCATAATCTCATTGCAGAATGCAACTAGACAGTTAAAGGTCTCATATTCTCTCTTCTTCATGTTTCACAGTCCATCCTATGCATGTGTATTATAATAATTTGAGCGATACACCATAACACTCAAAACTGAGATTACAGCCATCTCTTGCATAGGAGTGATGTCACCCTCAACTCAAACAGGCTGATCCAGAGAGGAGTCTGCTCCTCTGCCCTGACTTGTATTGTCCATCACATAACAAATATCTGTTTAAAACGTCCGTATACAACGTTATGGCTTACAAATGCATATCAACAAAGCCCAATGACCTCTACGTTTACGTCACTTATTTTGCATGATAATTATTGATAGAAACCGCTAAGGGTGAAACTATCTGTCAAAATGAGTTTTATTTAACACAAAAAAAGACCACAATATACTAACAAAATGAGAATAGGTCCCTTTTTAGGTAAAACAGAATGTGTTTTTCACTGTGTCACAGTCTCATACATGTCATGTTGCCTTCTCTTGCATATGGTATGGATTAAAAATCTTTTTGAATGTCGGCATCCATCTCAAAAGCTCCCCTCCCCTCATGGCTGTCTCCTCTTTGTCTGCAGGGAACATCTTTGTGGTGAGCCTTGCTGTCGCGGATCTGGTGGTGGCTATCTACCCTTACCCTCTGGTGCTGTCGTCCATCTTCCACAATGGCTGGAGCCTGGGCTACATGCACTGCCAGATTAGCGGCTTCCTCATGGGGGTCAGCGTCATCGGTTCCATTTTCAACATCACCGGTATCGCCATCAACCGGTACTGCTACATCTGTCACAGCCTCAAGTACGACAAGCTGTACAGCGACAAGAACTCTATATGCTACGTCCTGCTTATCTGGGCACTGACCGTCGTAGCCATCATACCCAATCTTTTTGTGGGGTCTTTGCAGTACGACCCCCGGGTTTACTCTTGCACTTTTGAGCAGTCCGCAAGCTCGGCTTACACCATCGCCGTGGTCTTCTTCCACTTCATCCTCCCAATCATGATCGTCACATACTGCTACCTGCGCATTTGGATACTGGTAATCCAAGTGCGGCGCAGGGTGAAGCCGGACAATCGTCCCAAGCTGACGCCACACGACGTCAGGAACTTTGTCACCATGTTTGTGGTATTTGTGCTCTTCGCCGTGTGCTGGGCCCCCCTCAACTTCATCGGCCTCGCAGTGGCCATCAAGCCAGAGGTAGTAGTACCACTGATCCCCGAGTGGCTGTTTGTGTCCAGCTACTTCATGGCCTACTTCAACAGCTGCCTTAACGCCATTGTGTACGGTGTGCTGAACCAGAACTTCCGGCGTGAGTATAAGCGCATTGTGGTGTCGGTATGCACTGCCCGGATCTTCTTCCAGGACAGCTCCAATGATGCGGGCGAGCGGCTCAAAAGCAAGCCGTCACCGCTGATGACAAACAATAATCGGGTCAAAGTGGACTCGGTTTGAGCAGCCTTCGGGGAAAACTGACTAAACAAACCATAATACCAAAAATATGGACCTCAAAGGGTTTCTTTTGTTGGAAACGTCCGCAAAACTGCCAAGTGCTCTCTGACCTCAGAACAATCACAGTTAAATATAAGGGTGCATATTGTTTATAAAGCACTTGCTTTGAATATGAAGCCGTACCAGTAGTACAGTAAATATATGATGTCTGTTTGTTTTGTTTACAAATGGTATACATGTATCATGCATTATACAAGTATTTTTTCTATCATATGTCCTGTAGATAAATATGATGATGTATCAGCCTCAGATTGCAGTGGAAAAAATGGTTGGGTTTGAACTGTGTTGTACATGGCAATTTTAAACTTAGTAAAATGGCTTTTGGGAAAATTGAATAAAGTAAAGCATCAAGTATTTGAGCTCAACAGTGCCCAAAGTAAAGTTGATACTTGTTCACTGCTGTAGACAAATCAGAATGTGAGATCATCAAAAAAAAATACAATTTTCCCTTTAGCCTGTATCGGGGTGCTAGAGCTACAGTGAAGTAAGTTCAATCACCCAAGCATCTGCCAAGTACAAGCACCTGACCAAAATGACCTTTAAGCATATTAAGAGGCCAATTTCTTTTTTCAAATGTTCTTTTTTCTTTTCTTTTAAACAAAACTTGCTGGGAATAAAACTTCATACATAAATTTAACCAATTTATTAACCTTATTTGTGACACTGTAACACTTACTAAATGGGAACTATGTGGGTTGCTGCTGTTTTATTATTATAATTATTATGAGACCATGAAAAACTGTCCCTTTCATTAGGTGAAGTATATGAAATATTTTTTGTAAACAATGTCACTGTTTTGCCACTCTGTGAGCTCATTTGCTGTATGCATGGATATCAGGAATTCTTTATGCAAAATAAATCTCATATTGATGGAGGATATAAACACAGTGTTGCATTTCTTATCATTCTTTGGTGGAATTGTTCATAGTTTCAAATCAAAGAGAAAATAAGCAGTAAATAAGCTATTTTAATAAACAGGCGCCAGCAAATGTACTGCAATTAACATCGGGATAAGGGAGATAGGAGAACCTTAATTAAACCCACAGTGGGGATATTAGTGCTGAATCGTTGCGTTGTCGTTGTCGTTGCGATCTTTCAGCTCCCACTGAAAGATCTCAGCTCCTGTGGACTCACCACCTGCAGGAGGATCAGGGAGGGGCTGGTGCTCTGTGTACTGGGTGGCATCTCTGGCCACCCCCCCGACCCAGAAATGGATTAAGGGGAAGAAAATGGATGGATGGACGTTGCGTTGACATTTCAATCCCGTGCATATGAATCAACAAAAAACATAATAAACAAGATACCAAATAAACAACAGAGCACAGTTTGAAAACAAGAACAGAACTGTAATTACAATCAAAATACCTATGAAAAGTAAGTATACTGTGAACATTAGCAGTAGGGGGTTTCAAGAGTGATCTTTGAGTGCTCATGAACAAGTGACATACAATACCGTATTTCTTGTTTATAAGTGCCTCAAAGCCCAGGTTCATAAAGAAAAGCTTTTAATCTAAGGAATAATTGTGTGCTAATGGCCTCCAGTGCAGGATGCTTAAAAGAGAGCCGGGAGAAAAGTTCACACTGTATTACTGTTGTAAACGAACATTGAACTCTCTCTAACTGGATTTCACTCACACATATCAAAGAAAACTGAGAAGCATTTAAGCGTTTATGGACTTGTCAGGTTCAGAGAGCAGATTCACTGTGTCGACACTTTTTATATTTTTCACATTGATAATTCATTTAGTGGCTGTAATAACACACGTCTTACACCTATTATTGCTGTAGGCAAAAACAGCGGACAGTGTTCACAACACTTTCTTTCTACTACTAAAGGGGACGGGCAAGGGGTGTAGCACCAAATTCTGGCCCCCGGGTACAAACACACTCTATGCGTAATACGTATACATCTATAGATACACTTTAGAGGGCCCCTTCCCGCCTTGGGCCCTGGGTACTCGGTACTCCTTACCCCCCCAGTCCGACGCCTATAAGGGAAAAACCTGTGGAACCTCTCCTACACACACCAGGGGTATGTAAGTAATCTTTATTTGTATGGTGCATTTCACAGAACACAACCTCACAAATCGCTTTACAATTTAATTTATTTGTCATCATTGTTATCATTTATGACACGCAACACAGTGATGAAAGAAACAAGACTGCCACCAGACCCACCAACACCATTCTTTCATGTTTATTGGTAGGGGAAACCAACCAGCAGAGGATACCCGCACAGAGAGCACTTGCAAAAAGACCCAGCCCCAAAACGGGCATAGACTTTCTAATGACCTTGGTTCACTTTCTCTGGTGATGCTACTGCTCCAGCTCCAATGGGTCACTGTTCAGTAATCATATATTCACTGCTAGTATGAAAATGAATTACACTTTCTACACAGACCAACCTTTTGAAATGATCTCCATCATCAAGGGGCCTGAACGGAAACAGATGGATCTTGGAAGTCTCAGGCCGGGTAGTAAAATTCAGGTTTCTATGAGGCTGTATGGATTTTAGAAAAAGTCTTAACTCCATATGTATGTCTGCTTGGGCTTACACCAGCTATGTGGGACTAATCAATTTCAAAGGCAGGTGAAAAATGCATGTTTGAGAGCAATTAGTGTCAGTTTTAATGGTTTGACTGTGAGAACTTTGGCCTCGAGAATTACAAAACCCACAACGCAAGATAAGACACGGTGGCTGAGTGGATAGCACTCTCGCCTCTCAGCAAGAAGGTCCTGGGTTCGAATCCCGGTTGGACCAGGGCCTTTCTGAGTGGAGTTTGTATGTTCTCCCCATGTCTGCGTAGGTTTCCTCCGGGTGCTCCGGTTTCCCCTACCACTAAAAATATGTACAATAGGTCTGGCATGTGCCTCCTGTACTGGCACCCCCACCCAACAATTGTAAACCGCTTTGAGACTCCGATGTGCAGTGAAAAGGCGGTATATAAATAAAAGCTTACTTACTTACTTACTAAGACTAAGACTACTGTATGAGGCTTTTGATTGGTTGAGCTTAGGTTCCCCTGACGTACTGCTAACTACAGGTGTATATTGTACGGCAAATGTAATGATCGTGTACAACCAGGATATCGCTTACTTTTAGTGAATATTAACTCACTTAGTTTGTTACAACCCCGTTTCTAAGCTTTACAGGCACCATATTGCAATGGTTGATGGGATACAGAGAAATTATAGTCAGGAAGTAATTTATGTACAGAATGTTATTTTTGGAATGAAATAATAGTAATTCATGGTCACAAACTACTGCATTGCTGATAAGCTTGTGTTGTGCATGGAGGACCCAAACTGTCAAAATTATAAACAGATGAATAATTAAATAAATGAATAAAGAAAAACATCAAAATAAAGAAAACATTCTGCCAATAATTATTAGGATAACACAACAAATCATGAGATTTAATAAATGTATATTATTATTATACGACGTTTTTTGGTTCCAAACTAAATAATAAAGCTTTATTATTTTCCTGTTCATTCAAATATTAAGATTAAAATACATTTATTTTTATTATTAAACTGCAGTTTTTTGCCCAAGCAAATAATAAAATATCATTGTTTTCTTTCCGCATGTATTTATGTTCTTCATATTTCATTTTTATTGATGTTCTGTTTAATGATTTCACGGCACAATATTCTTTTCTCGTGTCTTGTAAAGCAATACAAATGAAGGGGGCGGAGCTACACAGAAAGTTAGACCAAAGCAGTCTATCATCAGAGATCGGCTGCATATGTACATTTCCCCACAGTGTGAGGAGGTCTGACCCACAGTGTGAGGAGGTCTGACCCACAGTGAGGAGGTCTGACCCACAGTGTGAGGAGGTCTGACCCACAGTGAGGAGGTCTGACCCACAGTGTGAGGAGGTCTGACCCACAGTGTGAGGAGGTCTGACCCACAGTGAGGAGGTCTGACCCACAGTGTGAGGAGGTCTGACCCACAGTGAGGAGGTCTGACCCACAGAGAGGAGGTCTGACCCACAGAGATAAGACGTATAAGACCAGGAGCTCTCTGCAGTCCGTACGGGACCGTCAGTATGTTGTAAAGGTTTGAGAAGTTCACACAAGGTTCTATTGCAGGCTTGTATTTTCACACTGTTATTGAAACAGCCGAACACAAAACACGCTCTTCTAGGCATTATAGAAGAAGTGACAACTCCATCGACAGCCACGGGACAAACCGCTTCACACAGCTAGATGGCACCGTGGTAATGGCAGCACCGCTTGACTTCTGGGTTTAGCCTAATCAGTCTGCACGAGGCGATTGCTTTTGTCTCGCTGTCTGTTGCCCCGCCCCCTTCATTTGCATTTCTTTGCAAGACACGAGGAAAAAATAATGCATCGAGAAATAATAAAACAGATCAATAAATGAAGACATGAAAAAAAAAATACATGCAAGAAGAAAATAAAGAGGATTAGTAATTTCTTTGGAGGAAAAACTGCAGTTAAATGATAACTCGGTCCCTCCTGTCACGAGGAGGGACCGAGGACAGAACTGAAACAGACAAGGAATGACAATGACGGAACAGGGAGTGAAGGAACACAAAGGGCTTGTCACTCCCGTATTCGTCCCGGAAACCGGATTCGTCCGGAAGTTCAGTTTGCGCATGTCAGAAAGTTTAATATGTCCTTAAGTGGTGACTGGTTGAGTTTAGGCGTCTGAGTAAGATGGTTAAGGTTAGGGTTAAGGCTGGGTTGGAGTTATTTTATGGGAATGGCTGGTTAAGTTTAGGCATGAATAGGTAGTTTTTTATATTTACTTCCGCTTCCGTCCAGATTCCGTGACATGATCTACTGCTGTGTATGCTCATTGGATCAAACTGAACTTCCGGACGAATCCGGTTCCCGGGACGAATACGGGAGTGACAGGCTAAATAAAAGACTAACGAGACACAGGTGATCCAGGTGAGGGCAGGGCAGGTCATCAA